TTATCATTACTCATTTTTTATTATCATTACTCATTTTTTATTATCATTACTCATTTTTTATTATCATTACTCATTTCTCATTATCATTACTCATTTCTTTCTTCTACGCAAAAGTTATCTTTTCGATTATTTTGATACTTGCAATAGTTTAATTTTTAGAATGAAATCTTTTCAGGATTTAAAACAAATTTTTTTTTTGATTTTTCTAACATTACTGATTTACATTTATACTAACAGTTCATGTAAATTCTAAATTTTAGCATTTAAATAAATTAACATTTGTATAAAAATTTTTGCAATAATAGTTTTATATGAAATTAAAGAAAAAAAGAAATTAGACATACCAATGATCAATAAGCTTTTTTTATTGGATGCAACGGCAACACGTTGTAATGAGCATGGTAACTGATAGTTATAATCAGGAATCTGATAAGATCCTGATTTCCAGATTACCTGAAATAATTAACGCTTTGTTTAATTTCGAACAATAAATTAATAATCATTTAAATTTTCAGTTTAATTTTTTCATTTTTTTAAAATCATTGTTATCTTTTTTGTTCTGATATTTTATTTTTACAAAAATTATTATTTTTTTCAATTGGTAAGAAAAAAACGAAAAAAAAGGAAGCTATGATATTACAATTTGCAAATGGAAATAATTAATTAAATATTTTAGGCCATTAAAAATATGAAATTTTGATAATTTCTTATTATAAACAACATCTAGAAGCTTTACGTAAAAATTAGCAATTAAAAACTTTACTATTTCAATCAAATCAAATTTACATAATTAACTAAATATTTTTAGCATAATTAACGAAACAATTAGCACAATCAATTAAATATTTGGATATATACTTTATAGCGATATGCTATAATGTTATTTAAATCAAACGATATTAATTCATTATTTAAATACTTTGATAATTGGTCCAAAAGTTGTTTCATTAATATTTATCATGTAATTATATCCAAGTTTTAATGATCCATAATTTTCAAGAGCATTGATATTAATTTCTTGAGTAATTAATTCCGCACTACATCCTTCAAATTTATTCTTTAATGTTTCCGAAAGTTTCAATGGACGCATTTTCCCACTATAAATTCGTACCTATAAATTATTAACAATATAATAATCAGTCTTGAGAAAAAAAGTAATGCTCATAACTTATTGAAAATTGTTTCTTGCAAAATTTCATTTCCATTTTTTCTAAAAAAATTAAAACTTAATTTCCTTACAGTATCACACAATGTATACTTGCCTTTACAGTATCATTATGGTACGATGGATTTGTTTTGTAATTAAATATTACTTAGAGTTTGCATTATATAGTTCATAAATATTAATTTTTTTGTGAACTACTTAATGCATATATATGTATATATGCAAATAATAAATCCTGAATTAACTTGCAATCATTTACAGATAATTGATCCTGTATTAACTTTTTAGCAATGACAACCCACCTTTTGCGCATCTTGGCGACACTTTTCAAGAATTTCACAATTCAATTTTTGCTCTAACTCATCACAACTTTCTGACTCGACAAATAATCCCAGCCGACCTTTCATTTTTTGTATCGCATCATTTTTGCCCAACATCTGTAATTTAACTGATATTGTCTCTAACAAAAAAAATAAAAAGAAAAAAAAGTGGAAATTTTATGTCTGATAATTTCCTAAAAGGTTAACTTAAGGTAATTAATAACTGAAGAAAAAATAAATAAATAAATTACAGTAATAATGATATTAAAATGAAAAAATTATTGGAAAATCTTAAAAAATCGAATGATTTTCATTAAGAAAAAAAGCATAACTTCAATTCTTCAAATTTTTATATTTTTGAAAATAATTGCAAAAATTTACACCTTTCATAACGATTTTTATTAATTGCTTTGAAATTAGCTAATTATAATTTGTCACCAGCTTATTTTAAATTGTCCCTAATCTATCTTCATTTGAAACAAGCTTATCTCAATTCAACATTAGCTTATTATTATTTGACATTTCCATATAAATACATCTAACAAATTTCGAATCAATCATGCACATTTAGAAAAATGATACTTCATCAATCAGATGTTTTCGTAATTTCCTCCAGTAAGCATCAGTGATCATTAATGTAGAATGAATGGGAATACCGGTGATAAAGTATGGATCAGTGCTAAGGTATTTGTCAAATGTCATAATTACTTCTTCCATGTAACTATTATCTATCGAAACATTTAATGATAATGTTACCTGTAATAATTTAATGATTATTATAATATGTCATTTTTAATAATATAATTTTGGGATAATTTTGATTCCTTCAAAGATTCAATCAAAGTAATTCTCTTTTTTTTTCTTTTTGAACAATATTTTGTTGTAATTCCTTTTAGGATTACTTAAATTCTATCATATGAACTGCTAAATTTTATTGTCACTAAAATAATTGCTCAAATTAAAGCATAAAATTGAGTACCAATTTAAAAAATTAAATTATAAATTTTTTTATTAATCTACCAAAACATTCCGATAACTTAAAAATATCTCAGTTTGGTTGTGTGTAAATACGAAAAAGGTATGAATTTCCTTGCAAAAATTAATTTATAATTTTAGGATTTAATTATTTATGAGCTAAAACTGGAATGATTACTTTTTTCAGTGGATCGATCTTGAAAAATGACATATAAGCTAAGCGAGAACGATAACTTTCCAATTTTCTGCTGCAAAAAAAAAAAGAATTAATAAAGAAAAGAACGAATATTAAATGCAGTATTCAAGTTAATTAAAATTTATGCAAAATAATCAGATCATCTATTCTAATCCTTTTGTTCTACAACAAATATATTTTATAATTTTGTTATTTCAAACTTCTCAAACCTTAACAACAATCGATATTTCATATTTTTTTTTTATAACCATGCTATAAAACGTAATGAAAGGTCAAAGATCATGAAGAGAAATAACTTCAGAAACATTAACATTAAGATTTTAGAACGATCAAATTGCTAATATAAAAACTAAATTATTTCAAAAAGCTTTTTAAAACATTGGAATAATTTTAAAAACCATAATTTGTGTCATTTCATTTTTTTTAATTCAGAATTTCTTTATCAACTTCGTTTTCTTTTTAGAAGAAAAAAAAATCAACTTAAGTTTGCAAGATGAGAATAATGTAATTACAGTACCATTCATCTTTGTCGAGAGCAAATTCTCGATGACAAATTTCCTTAGTACAACAACATGCTGTACAACATGACCATTGTTCATAACCGATATCAATTTTAATATTATATTCCGGTTTTATGATAGCACGAAAATTCGTCGGTACCGGTTGATAATCACGAATACGGTAACGATAATCTAGTTTACCAGCATCATCTTGGCGACGCTAACAAAATTTTGTAATTATTTTTTTTTTAACTTAAATATTTAACGAATTTGTTTTATCATCGCATTTTATAATCATATCATTTAGCCTAATCAATTATGCAAATGAGATTAGATAGCGATTGATATAGTAAAATTACCAGTATTAATTAATAATTGATATTCTAATATCGTATATCGAAAATGAATATGAATCGAAAAGGAATCTAATTAATAAACAATCGTCAAATTGCATTCCTTTTTCCTTTTTAAATTAATAATTAATCATTTCTTAAGTTATTTAAAAATTTGAAAAATTTTTAGAAACCTCTTGGAAAGAATGATATTTTGTTGTACATTTCTGTTTATCATTTTCAGAAAAGTGTATGCTAAATAAGCATTCCGGTTTTTCATCAACCGGATCTTCGACAAGCGTATCCACATTAACTATGACATCCGTTTCAATTAGTCTACCATCTACTTGCTAAATTACAAGAAATGTTTAGATAGAAAAAAAAAATTTCCATCCAAAATTTGTAACAAATAATTTTTATTTGATCTTAGTAATTTTAAAAAAAAAAAACGAATAAGAAAAATAAAATTATATCATAGATAAATGAAGATAATAAATTAAAACCTGTGCGCAAACAATACTCATACTATTAAAATGTGGATAGTATTGTCGAAGTCGTCCCGGATCCGGATTGATTCGTAATCGCCCATCCGGAATTGGTATTGCTACTTCTAAATCATCCCTATAAATTAATTTAAACCTTTTACTTTTAATTTATTGATTTGAATTATTTTTAAAACATAAACATATATATATATATATATATATATATATATAATTAAATTATAAATAAGTACTATTTGTATTTTATTTTCATATTCTAATATAATATTCTCCTTAGCTTACCCACTAACAACCATTCGATCCCACCAACGATCAGCAAGAAATGGACCACGGAATGTTGTCCGTTTATCTTCATTATTCGGATCCGTAAATTCTATCAAATTAATTTATTAAATGAAAAAAAATCAATTAACACAACTGAATTATATAGTCAAATTTTGCATTTTGATAATGAAAACTTATATGATAACAAATTCAATTATAACTCATTAACAATGAATTTCAGCTATAACTCATGTAGTAATATATTTTACTACATGATTTCGATTAGTTATCAATGTGAATTATAATTGAATTCATTATCAATGATAATTAATTTCAGAATAAATAAATGAGATACAAGAAAAAAAAAGAAAATAGGCCAAGTATTAATAAGAGACAAGTTTAAATAATTCAATTTAAAGCTAAAAAAATTTTTTAAAAATAACTAAAATATATAAATAATATTAACTTTTAGTAGCAAAATTATATAAAAATGCAGCAAATGGAATCCGATGATATTGTCGTTTTGTCAATATCTTTTTTTTGAATTTTTTAGTTATCATTGAATAATTGGCACTCTCTGTTGTTGTATTAGTTTCATTTTGAAATAATATTGAAGTTATTGTTGTAGTTGATAAATCTTGATTATCTTCTTCTTCTTCTTTATTTTCATCCTCTTTTTGAATATCAAATTCATATGCGGAAAAAGCTTCGATACGTTTATGAAATGGAATTGGCGCAAAAATATCTCTAAAAAATTTATACGTTAATAAAAAATTTTGATAGGTTTATAAAATGGAAATGATGGATAAAAAAAAAAGGAAGATGATACTGTTTAGTTAGATTTCAAAGTTAAATTTTAAATTTTAAATTTAAACATTGATTATTTAAGCATTAAGTACGATATTGTTTTTGGAATTTTTATTTCTATCAATTTAATAAAAAATAAATTAATACTCTTCAGTTAGATTTCAATTTAAATAAATTTAAATACTGACTATCTAAGTATTAATTTTGATATTTGCTTTTGGAATTATTTTTATTTTTATCAATTTAATTTTTTCCAATTTAAAATCTAACTAAATTAACTGCGATAAACTATCATTTTAATTAACCTATGCATTTTTATAAAATTGAAATCATTAACATTCATAAAATTCCGCATAAAATTTTCCGTTTTAAAATTTTCTACAATATTTCAAATTTATATCGAATCATTTTTTTAAAAAATTATTTCTATTTATACAATAATTGCACTAATACAATTTCGTTTTGTGAAATTTTTTAATAGCTTAAAATAAATTTAAAAACTGCTGAAATGGCCAATCGAAAGTTTGTGATTCAAAGATTTGAGGAATGTAACTAATTATTGAAAATAATTAGAAATAAAAATAAAAAAAATGTAATTAATTATTGAAAATAGTTACACTTTTAAAAATAATTAAAAAGATTTGCTTCAATTGCTTTTAAATAGTTAAGTGATTTTTTTTTCTTTGCTGATATCCCTGCAATCGTTTTATCCCAGCAATAGTTCCGGTATTTTCTTAATTATATAAATTTTAATTATGCCAAAAATTGAAACCTGCGTGGAAGCATATAAAAGGTATTAACAATATTAGCCGATGGTAGTTTTTTCAAGCAAGTAAAACATGGTATCTGTAAGATAAAAACGTCATTTATCACTTAAGTTAAAAATTTTTAATTTTGATTTACCGAATTTAAAAATTTCAATTTTATTCGACAATTTTAGAAATGAACATTTAAAAAATATGCTCAAATTTTATAACATTATCAACAGAGAAAAAAGAATTGGCAATTAAGTAAACCGATTATTATTTGTTTACATGAACTTAAATTAAATTAAATTTAAAAATTTAAAATTAAATAATTATGTGTTATTTTTGCTAATATTCTATAATTGCTTTATTCTAGCAGTAATCACAAAATTTTCTGTGTTGATATCGTATAATATAATGCAGTCACTATTTATATTAGTAAATTAACGATAATTTAACTATATTTTATGAAATAAATTTAGAGTAGAAAAACAAAAAAGAGTTTAAAAAATCTACTTCAAATGGCATATTTCTTTCATGCATTAATGAAACGATCCGTTGATTGCCAAATACAAAAGGTGCCTTTTCTTCTTGACAACTTCAAATAAATAATTTGAACAAAAAATTTATTAATTAAATTATGTCAACATATTAATTACATAATTTCAAGTTATATTGCAATATCTGTATTTGATATCATTCAATTATATTATATTTATAGATGAAGTGAAAATCAGTGAACAAAATCATATTAATTGAATTAATTAATGTGTGCGCTAATTTTTTCCTCCCTACATTTATTCTTAATTTTATGTTTTGATTACAAATAACGTTGCTGATATTTGATAAAAATTTATACTTAAATGGAATTTATTAGATAAAATTACTGATATCAATTACATTTATTCGAATTTTTCAATTAAACTAAATTTAAATCACAATTCGATGATAATATATTTATCAGTTACCAAAAGAAAGTGAAAAAGGCTTATTTGGAAATTATTTTAGAAGAAAAAAATAAAGCATAGCATGGTTAAATTTTTAAATATTAGTTTTTTCTTAATTTTAAAAACTTTAAAATTTTGTCTAAAAAGTTACAATTCAGGAGGGAAATAATAAAGTAATATTAATTACTAATTAGTAACTAATTATTAACTTACTCTTTGCCTAGATGGACAAGATTTCTGAAATATAATCGCTTATGAATGGTATAACCTGCACGTTGTTGCTCATCTGCTAAGAATTCTTTATATTGCTAAAATTTTAAACCTTTTTTCAAAAATTTTGATCATATTTTTTTTTGCATTGAAACGCATTAATAATTTCTAAATTGATATGAATTATTTAAATTTTAATTCACTTAAACATTCATTGTATTATTATTACGTTCACTTACGTCATTAACGTTTTTTACCGTAAACCAATAAATACATGATAGAAAATGTTTGTTTAAAGTGAAAAAGGAAATAAAAATTTTTGTTTTTTTTTTCTTACAAAAAACACTAACATTAATATAGTTTGGTACTGTAGTAATTTTATCTTTGATAGGAATTGAAAAATTTTGAATTGCTTGATTAATCCGAAATAATCCAAGCGGCATTGATGTTTCATAGTAATCTGGGAAACTACTGGAAATTTTTTGATGATTATTAAAAATTCCCTTAGCAGGAGTTATTTGTTTTAAGTAAAAAAATGACGAATAAATTAGCATAAAATGATATATTTATCTGTTTTATCAATAACTTTATCAGTATTTTATTTCAAATCAAATCAATGTAATAATCAGCACATCACCTATCAGTGTATTTTAAATCAGATCAAATTCAGCAGTTAACTCATGAATTATCAGTATATTTTAAATCAGATCAATAAGTTAGCTAACGACAAATTCTTATCATTTTGGTTAATTAAACCAAATCAGACTAACATTCATCATGATTGCCTGATGAGAAAATGGCCTAATTAGCTAAACTTTTTGTTTAAACTTCATTTACGTACAGTTCAGATAAATCAGCTGTTACTGTTGGATCATTGCCTTTTTCATCAGCTGGAAAGCAATCACTCAAATATTGTCGTATCATTGTTGTCATTAATATATCAGATTTGAACCAAGGTAGTAAATCTTCAAAACAATATATCGATTACCAACTTTAATAATATAATCAGTATAATATATTAAAATATATTAAAATATCAAATGGATAATTAGTATATCAGATAATACTGCTCATAACTTCATCCTATTTTAATATTAAGTATTTAATTTCAAGTCAGCATATAATATAAGCTGTTCAATAAGACTTAACTTCAATAAGACTCAATTAAGATTTAACTTCTATTCAATTTCAAGTTAACATTTAATATCCAATTTTGAACTAATTCACTTAACATAAGACATTTAATGTACTGAATTTTACATTAGCACTTAATATAAAGCATTTATTTTCAAGTTAATCCAATTAGTACCTTTAAAATTACGATAATAAGTTTGCTGTTGTTGTAAATGTGCTTCAAAGCTACATCTCTGTAAATAATCCTCCTCTTTTTTGAACCAAAATATCGCAAATGATTTACTAAATTTGAAAAAAAATATTTTATTTTCATTTGGAAGTAAAAAAATTTTCAAATTACTTCCAAAAAATTAATTTCAAATAACAATATTATCATAAAGTCATCCATTAATGTAATTTTTAATGATTAAAAACAAATAAATTACTTCAATCAAAGAAGTATTTTCCTAATTTTCCGCCTTTTTTTTTAAAATAAACTTTTACTTGTGATTTTTTAAGTGGAATTTTATTACTTAAATATTATTGATTCCATTTTAACAACAAATACTCATTTCTATTCCTTTTTTTCCTCCTTTTCCTCATTAAAAACTTACGTATAAGGAAGAAAATTTTTGAGTAAAATATTTTATTAAAAAAAAAATAAATTGAAATTGATCAAATTTCCAGGAAATTTTACCGATTAATTTGACAAAAAATGAACAGAACAATGATAACAACCGTGCGATTCATCGAATTAAACACAATCTGTTAACAATCAAATAGTTTCATTTCTTTTTTCGATCCTTTTTTTTGCATAATTATTTGAAAATATTCACGCAAATACTTCTATTTTTCATAAATTTTTTATTCTTTTTTGTCAAATCATTTTATATTCGAATTTAATTATTTTCAAAAATTGCTGCGCTAAAATTTATTTGACAACATTTCAATTTTTTCAAATTTTTTCAAATTTATTTTGACTTATTTTTTCTGTTAATATTCGTTTTCAAATTTTATGTAGTTTCATTAAACTTTAATCATCACATTTTTATGCCCACAAGGCTAATTAATTTTAATTTGTTCTTGGATGCTAATTAATTAATTTTGGATGTATCATTTAGAAGATGCTTTTTGCAGTGATGATTAAATTGATCAATGATTCGGAACTTAATGGCATAGTTGACGATGGCACACATGAAAATACTGATATTACTAATATCAGTATTTAATTTAATATTAACGGTTGTTTTGTATTTGTATTAGTATATCGTTTCTATATGGAATACATCTTCTCTATAAATTTTATTTTCTATTCATT